ACTTCCGGCCTTTTTGTTTGTGGTATTGAGAAATCAAACCCAGGGCTTTATGCATGCTCGGCAAGCACTCTACCACTAAGCCACATTCCCAGCCTAGTGCAGTTTTTATTTTATATATATTTTTATTGTAGAAATACTGTACAGAGGGGTTACAGTTATTGAGCATTGTTACCTCCTCCTTTGTTTTTTCCCTACCATCCCTTCCCTTCACACCTCCTCCCCCCACAAGTTGTAAAGTTCATTTTCAACATAGTATCTTATACATCTCATTGTAACGATGGGTCAACCTGTATCCTTATTTAAGCATTTTGTTATTTCCCTTCTCCTCCCCCAATTGTAAAAATGTATATACAAGATGCAGGGCACTGGGATCAAATACAGTGAAAACAGGGGTTATACCATGGGGGAAGAACATAAAAAAGAAAAAAAATCACACAGTACATTATAAATATGTTAAAAACAATAGCAAGAAAGAAAAACCACTTGTGTCCCTATCTTGGGGTTTATTTTGCTTAACATCTTTTTTTTAAAATACATTTTTAATTGTAAAAATACTGTACAGAGGGGTTACAGTTACATGAGCAAGATAATGAGTACATTTCCTATCAAGCATTGTTGCCTCCTCTTTTGTTTATTCCCTACCATCCCTTCCTTCCCACCTCTACAACTATCTTCGCCCCACCCCCAAATTGTAAAGTTCGTTTTTCAACATAGTGTCTTGTGATAGTGCAGTTTTTTAAAGTTGAAGAACAGCTCCATGCTGTTCACTGTTGGTTGTGGGGCTTGAACTTAGGGCCTAGGTGGTGTCCCTGACCTCTTTGTGCTCAAGGCTAGGGGTCTACCACTTGAGCCATAGCACCACTTCCGGTTTTTGAGTGGGATTTTTCTGCTCAGGCTGGCTTTGAACCATGATCTTCAGATCTCAGCCTCCTGGGTAGCTAAGATTATAGGCATGGTGCAGGGGTTCAAAGGTCTTTAGGTGTGTACTGAAGGACATACCTATGGCTACACTGAACTAGACAACTGAGATTTCTCTGCTGGCAAGGATAATACCCATTGTTGGGTACCTCCTTGAGGCTAAGCAATTCTGAGTGATTATAAGTTATCATGCTGTTTTTGTTTGTTTTTGTCATCCTTACCTTATTTAACACAGTCTGGAAGCCTGGCTGGGAGAACTGATTTGAGAATATAGCTTTGTTGCCAGGCCTTTGAATGTTCAGATCTGCCATTATGAGTAAGTCAGATCTCTGAGCCTCATTTTTTCCACTCGGAAGAGAGACAAACAACAACATTGGAGTCTTAGGAAAGCTAAATGGAGAGTGGTGTGGTATGGGCTGGTCAGTACTGCTCAAGTACCCACCAAATACAATGAGGGTGGACCTCAGCCTGGCTGCTGCTGTCCAGAAGCCCCTCTAAAGAATGTATTCCCTTTACCCCTTAGAAACACCCAAAACCTTGTTCACCCTATACATCTCAGGCCTTGCCTCAGGTCTGTTGAATGGAAACTCTTTTAACAAGCCCTTCATGTCACTCTGATGTGCACCGAAGTTTGAGAACCTTCCAGCAAAATGCAAAGTACTGTGTAGACATTAGCTGAGAGCGCTGGTAACTCCCTGTTACATGCAGATGGGGTCACTGAGAACCTCTAACTAGGCTGATTTTGGGGTGACATTGTCCTGGTTGTATGAGAATGAAACTGTTTATCTATGGAAAGAGGGGACTACCCTTAATTAAAGTGATAGTTGTAACCTTGTAATTACTCAAAGGTAATTACAGAGATGGCAAATTGTGTAAGACATTTGCCATTTCCTGAAAATCCCCTCATTCAAAATATTTTCCATCCATCCCCTCCCCTCCTTGCTCATTGTGATCTTGGTTTGAAAACAATGCACAAAGGTTTGCTCATGCTGTGAATTGCTTATTGATTGATTTATTTATTGTTAAAATTTACCTTTTCTCTAATTGCAAAATGAAAAAGTATCCCTGGAAAAAAATGTGCTTGGGAACATTTAATAATGCATTCTCCAAGTCATCGCAAGCTTGAGATCTACCCAGTATGACTGGCAAAAGACTTCCTTCTAAGGAGAAAGGGAGTGGAGCAAGGATCAGGCCAGGGCCAGGGCACATAGCCTCCTGTGGGCGTCTGTCAGACTTTAGCCTTCCTCTGTACTGCAGGAGCCAGGGTGAGGGAATTGGGGAGATGAATCTCGAACAATGTCTGACCCCATGAGACTCATCTAACAGTGTCATTTATTCACATTTTTACTCACCACAATGTGTACAGGCTTTTCAGTTGAAGAGTGGTGGTGAATTAAAAACATCAATCTCATAGTCTCTAGTGATACAGTACTGCATATGCCTGCCAATAAATTCCTAGTATGGCTTTAAATTTTTTTTTTTTTTGAAACAAATGGAAGTAAAGCCCTGATTAACCAGAATCCTTAATTTAAGAGGATTTGTTTTCCATGGGAGGCTCTTTGATTTTAGAATCACATATAATAAGCCTATGTTAGGAATTTTATGAAAGAATAGTCTAATTGGGGGTTTCTTGTTATTTCTGTAGCAGTTTTCATTAATTTAGAATGAAAACTCAGAAGCATGGTGAAGTCTATCTGCTGCTGAGCTAAGCCTGAGCTGAGCAATTTATAAATATTTTAGTAATTTTAAACCATTGTAATTTTGTGTGAGGATAACTGATCATGGAATTGATGAGAAATTATACAAGAACCCCCTCTCCCCCAAACCAGTTATTTGAGGTGCTACTGCTCACGCTTTCATCCTCAGCTTTGTTTTCAGGTCTTTGTTTTGGGACAAAAGTGAGATTGTTCTGAAGTGACCAGAACTCTCCCTTATGAAGCAGAGCCAAAGACTGAAAACAGATATAGCCATGGGGTTAGGAGACAAGAGGAGGCATGGCTGTAACTAGTGGTACCAGAAAGGGGAGACTTCCTGTGGTGAGATCTTGCTTGACTGAAGCTAAGCTTGCATACCTGGGGCCTTCCTAAGAAGGGAGAGAGGAGTTCCTTTGTGCAGAGCATCATTGCAGGCTCCAATCCTCTCTGAAACCTGGCCCCCAAATGGCAAGAAGACAAGTTTTTTTGAAGGCAAAAGCAAATTATTTCCTAACCAGTGTTCTTATGTGGCTTCTGTGGTTGTATGCAAATGGTATGTGGCCTTTTGAACCAACAAGAGGAATAAGCAACACTATGAAATAATTGCAAGGAATTCTTGAGTGGTCAGGTTCTTTGTGCTACTGCCACCCAGAAGAAGAAAGTCTAATTGTCTAAAATATATGACTTTCAGAGAATGTTCCAGTTTCATCTTTAGTATCTTCTTTTTCAGTATGTTTACAAATAGTAAATTGCTTCCTTGGTAGTTGTGAGTTCTTATAAAATCTGAGATGGTTATTTGTCATCTAATAAAGAGTGTGTGTATGTGTATAAATGCCATTCCTGGAGCTTAAACTCAGCTCCTGGGTGCTGTCCCTGAGCATTTTTTGCTCAAGGCTAGTGCATGATCACTTGAGCCACAGCTTTACTTCCAGCTTTTTGGTGATTAATTGGAGAGGAGAGTCTCATTGACTTCTCTGCTTTGGCTGGCTTCAAGCTGCAATCCTTAGATCTCAACCTCCTGAGTAGCTAGGTGACAAATGTACACCACTAGTGCCTGGCTAGCAGATACTTTAAAAAATATTATTATTACTATTACTATTACTACTACTACTATTATTATTATTGCCAGTCCTGGGGCTTAAACTCAGTGACTGGGTACTGCCTCTGAGCCTCTTTGTGCTCAAAGTTGCCACTTGAGCTACAACACCACTTCCAGCCTTTTCTGACTGTTTCTAGATTTTTCTGCCCGAGCTAGCTTTAAAACACAATTATTAGATCTCAGGCTCCTGAGTAGCTAGGATTACAGGCTTTCCTGGGGAAAGCTGAGGTAGAAGATAAGGGACAGGTAGCTGATGGCAGGCTCCTGTGAAAGGATAGAGGAGAGGCTATGGAAGTGTAGAGAGGCCAGGAGAAGGGTGAGGAGGGCAGCTGACACCAGGGCCAGGGTTTGTAAAGCTTCACACAGTGAAGGCAACTGAATGTTTTCCTGTTCTTTCAAATAGCATTGAGAACGAAGAGGCAGAAGATTGCCTAGAAGCCAGTCTGTGATGACGGAAGTCTTTTTTACAGTTCTTAGTTTCGTTATTCATTGGAGATCACATGTGAGGGTCTAATGGGGTGGCCTATGAGGTGACAATGAGGCAAGCTCACTTTTAGTTTATGTGCTAGTTAAAAAGCCCCTGTCTTTCCACATCTGTCTCCAATTTGTTTCTTAGCCAATGCATTTTAACCCCTCTTGTGCCAGGTCTGTAATCTAGGATACATTTTTGTGTGGCTTAAGTAGGGCAATCCGATTGTAGAACATTCTCAGTAGGGAGAGAGCTGACATCTATAATTGGATAGTCTCATCCTTGACATTTGAGATGAAAAATAAAAAATCATCTTTTTGGATTTGCATGCCAAGATATTCCCGCTGAGAAGGCTGAGAATAAAATAAATGGTGTTTTAGGTGCTCGGTTGTCTTTTTGGAAGATTTTAATCTTCCAAAGTGTACAATACTGATCCAGGAAAAGTCTTTTTAAAGTTCACATCCTGTTGACTCCTTCAGATGAAAAGTTTCTTTCTCTACCCCGTATTTTGCAAGCTGGAGGTAAAAATATGATGCCACATAGCCTGTAAAAGACCATTCAACTTGGAGTCAGTGTTAGACCACAATGCTGTGGCCCAGAGTGAGTGTGGGCTTCTGGAGCCGAGACCCCAGGCTGGAGCCACAGCCATCTGATGCTGCTGTCTAGGACTAGGTTAAGGGGCTGATGCTTTCTTTATGCTTCCTGTCATCACTACTTCCCAGTCCCCAGCCTTGCCTCCTCCACACTAGTACATGTGCACAACAAAACTTGGATACTGATGAATTTTGTTGTTTTCGTTCCTTTGTGGCATCTGAAACAGCTTGTACAATGAAGACAGAAACCTGCTTCGAATTAAGGAGAAGGAAAGACGCAACCAGGAAATTCACCAAGAGAAAGAGGCATTTCCTGAAAAGATTCCCCTTTTTGGAGAGCCCTACAAGGTATTCACTCTATACCAGAAGATGCAAGTCTGATTTATCACTGTATTGTGCTCTGTGATGAAATGATTCTATTTCATTCATGACCAATTTCAGATAAGCATTACAACTGTGGAAATAACTTATCACAGTGATTTTTTTTGGAGGGGAAAAAAAACCCCATTAAACTGTGTGCTACACATTAAGTTGAGAGGTTCCTTCTCCTTAATAGTGTAATCGATTTTTAAAAAGTAATTATTCTTCTTAGATTTTTTTTTTCTTCCGTTCTCTGACTCTAGTGCCCTTTTTGTTTTTTAGAAAGCAAAAGGTGATGAGCTGTCAAGCCGAATACAGAACATGTTGGGAAACTATGAAGAAATGAAGGAGTTCCTTAGCTCCAAATCCCATCCTCGGGGTTTGGTTGCTTCTGAAGATAGGTTGGGGAAGTCAAGATACCCTTTATTTCCTGACAAGGGGAGCAGCATTCCATCCAACTCCTTCCACACACGTGTCCACCACCAGCCCATTCACACTCCTGCCTCTGGACCACTTTCTGTTAGTAACATTAGCCACAATCCAAAGATGGTGAAGCCAAGAATGGAACCATTGCCAAATCTCCATGCCAAAAGTTATGGGCCACCGGAAAGCCAGCACCTGGCCCATGCTTGCCTTGGTCAGGAGGGATACAGCTCTAGTCATCTCACAAAAGGTGACCATAGACCTGATGGAGGCCATTGTACTTTGATGACAGACTCAGCTCCAGAAAGGGAACTTTCCCCCCTAATCTCATCTTTGCCTTCCCCAGTGCCCCCTTTGTCACCTGTACATTCCAACCTGCAAGCTCTTCCCAGGATGCCAGCAAGCAACAAGGTTCATAGCAGTAGCAACAGCAGTAAAAGCTTCTGCCCAGCCAAGTCTCCCAAGGACCTGGCAGTGAAGGTTTGTGAGAAAGAGACCCCTCAAGACAATCTAGTAGCGGTTGCCAGCCTTGGAGTCGCCACTCCCCAGCCAGCTTCTCAGACATTTCCACCCCCCTCTCTACCATCAAAAAGTCTTGCAATGCAGCAGAAGCCCACTGCATATGTCCGGCCCATGGATGGCCAGGACCAGGCTCCACTGAGTGAGTCTCCCAAGCTGAAATCGCTGCCAGAAGACTATCGTCAGCAGACCTTTGAAAAAACAGACTTAAAAGTGCCTGCCAAAACCAAGCTCACCAGACTGAAGATGCCTTCCCAGTCAGTGGAGGTGAGTTGGGATTTCTGACATAGGGCATTTCCCAATGTGAAGAGAATTGAGTGGGGAGGTAAGTCTGTAATGTTGGGATGGTGTATGCTTTGGCTTAGGAGCCTGCTCATCCATGAAAAACTCAGGTAGCATGTGGATTAGATACTGAAATAAGACTTTTCTTTTTGGTAGGAGATGTTCTTTCTAATGGAAGGATGAAATCTAATGAAATCAAGATGGCTCAGGCTAGCCATGGACTGGAGAGCCTCCTGCCTAACCCTTTGAAGTGTTAGAATCAATCCAGCTTGAAATGTAGTTTGCAAAAGGGTTTAAAGAAGTCTTGTTAAGCCGGGTACTGGTGGCTCATGCCTGTAATACTTAGGCTGAGATCTGAAGATCATGGTTCAAAGCCTACCTGGGCAGGAAAATCCATGAGACTCTTATCTCCAATTAACTACCAGAAAACCAGAAGTGGAGCTGTGGCTCAAAGTGGTAGAGTGCTATCCTTGAGAAAAAGAGCTCAGGGACAGTAGTGCCTAAACCCTGAGTTTAGGAATTAGTACTGGACACATACAATTCTTACTGAGTGCTGGAGATGTGGTTTAAGTGGTAGAATGCTGCTCAGCAAGGCACAGTGCCCTGATTTCAGAACCTTGTATCATCAAAAACAACCACAACCCCCCCCCCCCCCCAAACAAAATGAAACACAAAACCTCAAAAGCCTTTTATTGAGCCATATTTAACACGTATAATCTAGAGATTCTAGGAGTACTATTTGTCTTGTGTATAGTTTACAACCCCAATGGAAGATTAAGAATTATTTCTAGTACTTTCTCCTTTTGCTTTTTTAAAAAACAATGTAAAGGAAAAGTTTTGCATTAATAAGCACCTTAGTTCACTCAGTTTCTTCTGAGTCAAGTAAAATCAAGATGTCCAAATGTTGAAAGTGTTTTTTTTAAAGGTTTGTTGCTTGTAAATGGTAAGAAACTTTTAAACTGAAGTTGTGTTGCAGTATGCTTTATTTACCATTTGAAAAAGAAGAGTGGGTGTATGGTGACATGTCATTTGAGAGTGAGTCACATGTTGACAGAATGTTATTCAACTCTGGGGTTTAAAAGTAACCAAAAATATTTTTTTTTTTTTTCTTAACTAAGAAAAAATAATTTCCTTTTCTAGCTTTCTTGATAACTGACTGAGTTGTGTTTGAAAGGAGAATTGGAGCACATATCCTGTTATTAGACCTGAGCTTCTTTCTTTTGCTCAAGGCTAACACTCTAACACTTGAGCCACAGTGCCACTTCCAGCCTTTTCTGTTTATGTGGTACTGAGGGATGGAACCCAGTGCTTCATGCATGCTAGGCAAACACTCTACCTACCATTCCTAGCCCCCTGTCACTGAAACTTCTAAGTGATAGTAGCTACTGTAAAATTAAGGTTAACAGATGAAAGTAAAGTGTTGGAAAAGAATTTTGTGTGTGAATTGAATTTAATTATTTGAGATGGGGTGTTGCTATGTTGTCGAGGCTGATCTAGAAATTCTGCACAATTTATCCTCCCATCTTAGTTTTCTAATGAAGTAGATGTTAAGAACCTGTCTGTAAAAGACTGTGGTTTGACCCACAAATTATATAAACATAATTTGCATCTCCATCGAGTCACTCAGATTTGTTTTACATAATGGGAGAAGGTAAAATTCCTTTGTCTTAAATTTTTTTTTTTAAATAAGGTTTTAAGATCTTTGACTGGAAAGTTAGTCTTGATCTTGAAGGTTCCTAGTAACTGTCAGCTTTTGGTTTAGAGGAGATACTTGGAGTTCTATTGTTGGATATCTCTTGAGCCTCTGATGTCTTCTAGAAAGTGACTTTTATTTGGGGACCGAGGAAAAATCAGAAAGGAAGAGTTAAGCAAATGGGAGAACTGGTCCAGATGGCAGAACTCTAGGCCTCTGACTTCATCTTAAAAGGGATCAACTCAGTGGGCTGTTTTTTGAGCATTTGTGCTGTGATATAGCCTGTTAGCTTACTTTATAATCTTATAATTCAGACATTGAAGAACTTAATGGGAATTCCTTTGCTTTATTTTTCAAATTATGTTTATTGTGTCTTCCTACTTCTCTCTCTCTCTCTCTCTCTCTTACTCACTCACACACACACACACACACACACACACATGTAAGAAAATAAACATTTTTCTTTGAAAACCTAAAAGACTGAAAAAAAATGCTTTCAAACAATTTCAGGATGCATCAGCAAGTACTTACATAGTCTACCAAATGCCCAAACATATGCTTACATTTGGGGAAATGATGCCAAAGAAGTATTGGTGCTGTCCCCAGGCATTAGTTTACTGGAATAAGGAGTCTGCATCCCTGAAACCATTAGAGAGTAATTCAATGGAAACCATCTGGTGTTAGGTGCATTGACTATGAACCTGTGTGAATTCATCCAGCAGGTTTCCTAGCAGACAGTTCAAGAGCAGAGGCTCTTGGTTAGATTCCTGCTTTCTTGGGGCTGGGAGCAGGAGTCAGCAACTGAGTCAAGATTTATCCCAGGTCTGAAAGTTTCTGCTTTTTATTAGGCATTGCAAACACAGGACTCTGTTAGGTGAATCTTGCACATTTTCTGAGGAGTTGACATTTGAAATGCACAAGGTCCACCATAGATTTGGTGGTTGGCAAATGGGTTTTTCTTGGCACCGAAGAATCTTCTATTAACCATTATGTAGATGTAAATGTATCATCTGCAGTCAGCTTTCTCTGTAGTATGACAGCTCACTCTGGCTCCTGCTAGAGCTTCATGCCAATGGCATCTGTGATGCCAACTGCCTCAGACCCTATGGTGGGGCTGGTGATCCAGAGCATGAAGTTGATGGTCAGGCAGACATCTAGAGGACTCTGGGGGACTCTTGTGAGGGAGAAGAGGAGCCAGAAGCTTGGAAGAAAGCAGGAGGCATCTGGATATTAGTGCATTCTGGCTATGTTTATTTATTTTCTGGCTAGGTATTGAATTAGATTGTGCTATTTTAACAAAGTTCTTGTGTTTCACAGATTTAGCATTAATTTTTTGATTACATATAACAAAATGGGTATTTAAGACTTTTCTTAGGGGAGGGGCTGCTTCTGGGGCTTGAATTCAGAGGTATTGTTCTTGCTTGCTTACAGCTGGTGCATTACTACTTGGGTCATTCATTCAGCCTTGCGCTTTACTAATGAACTGGAGATGAGTTCTCATAGACTTTTCTACCTGGGCTGTCTTCAGACCACTCTGCTTGAACTGACTTTGTGCAATGATCCTCCAGGTCTTAGCTTTTTGACTAGCTGGGATTACAAGCATGAGCCAGTGACAGCTGGCCAGAATTTTTTTTTTTTTTTTTTAATGGGAAACTTAAAAATCACTTATTTTTACATTTTGATGAACTCAAAGAAACCGGAGATAAGGAAAGCAATGAATTATCTCAAGAGCAGGTGAACTTTGAATATTGTGGGGTTTTTTTTGTTTGTTTGTTTTGTTTTCAGTCATGGGGCCTGAACTCTGTCTGGGCCTGGGTGCTACCCTTCAGCTCTTTAGCTCAGGCTAGCACTCTTGAACCACAGCGCCACTTCTGGCTTTTTCTGCTTATGTGGTGCTGAGGAATTGAACCCAGGGCCTCATGCATGCAAGGCAAGTGCTCCACTGAGCCACCTTCCAGCCTCTGAATTTCGAGTATTGAAGCAGAGATTGAGCCGTATTGTGAGTGCTTTTAGTATTGGGGCAGTAGTCATTTGCTTCATTAGTCCTAAGGCTTAAAAATTTGTTGTTGTTGTTTTTACCCTCTCTTTCTTAGCTCTAGGGGCTTTGTGATTTATTTTGTTGCTTCCATGACAAAATATTTTAAAAAGTGAACCCAAATTAGTTGCCTCGTCTTTTGGTCAAGCCACGTAAGTAGATTTCTTATATACTGCTCTGTGTTGTTTTACTTCCTGGAAGGTATTTAGTTTCATGTTGTAGTTAGTACTTTAAAAAAAAAAAAAGATATTCTTTTCTGGGATTATCATTCTTATAGTTAAAGCATTCTCCTTCCTTAAGATCCTACCAGAAAAAATAATTAAAAGGTTACCATTCTTACTAAATAGAGGCTTAGATCAGAAAACTGAACTCAGCTTTCCCTGTAGAGGTCTGTCTCTGTCAGTCGGAAAATGTATAGCAGTGGGCAGTGATCTTGCCAAGAAGAGCCAGGCAGGACTGTGAAGTTTCATGGTGATATTTCCAGCACTGGAGTTGCCAGATCAGAGATGGACCTACCCAACTGGAAGGCTAAGGTTATTTTACATCTTAGTCTTTGACTAGAGAGAACAAATGAAAGAGAAAAGCTATGCACCTGGGTGGATTGGTCTTGAGAATGGAAGAGGGAGGAGTGCCTAGACACAGGTTTTAGGCTCAACCTATGTTAGATAGGTCTTATTAAAGAAGAGAAGTGGGCCAGATATGGTCGTAAATGCCACTACTCTCAACACCTGGGAGATTTAGGCAGGAAGTTCTTTCTTGTTGGTCGTTGGTCTTGAACGATGGGCCTGGGCACTGTCCCTGCGATCTTCAGCTCAAGGCAAGCACTCTACCACATGAGCCACAGCACCACTTCCAGTTTTCTGGTGATTAATTGGAGATAAGAGTCTCACGAACTTTTTTTTTTTTTTTTTTTTGGTCCAGTCGTGAGGCCTGAACTCTGGGCCTGGGCGCTGTCCCTCAGCTCTTCAGCTCAAGGTTAGCGCTCTACCACTTGAGTCACAGCGCCACTTCCGGTTTTTTCTGTTTATGTGGTGCTGAGGAATCAAACCCAGGGCCTCATGCATGCAAGGCAAGCGCTCTACCACTGAGCCACCTTCCCAGCCCCTCATGGACTTTCTTGCCTGGGCTTTGAACCATGATCCTCAGAACTCAGCCTCCTGAGTAGCTAGGATTACAGGCATGAGCCACTGATGCCGGGCTAAGGAAGTTCTTGAGTTCTAGGTAATTTTGAACTACACAGGGCAACCCTTCTCACAG